GCTTGTGCAGGAGGACACGAGACTGCAACATCTTTTTCAGGATTTGTCTCAAGCATTCCGAGGACGTCATCTCCGCCGAGCCTCCGTGCACCTTCGGAACCGGTCAAACGAGTGTCCTGCGAGCGGACCAGAGCTCCATAGCCAGCAGCGCAGCCATCCGGGTGCCTTTCCACTTCAAGTGGCCGGTAAAGTAACACCAGCAATAGCAAACTTCATTGCTTAATTATTAAGCTGATCTGAAAAAATAACTAATACGACAAATGATGCATAGGCTAGGCTACATTAGTTTTGCTTTAGGCTACTGCAAAATTATTATTTTTAATCAGGTTCCCTTAAGTATAACTAAACATTTAAATAGCCCTAAGTGCAAAAGACAAGACCATGCAAAAGTCTGAAAATGTAACAAATTGGTCTATAATAGTAAAAAAAGAGAGAGAAAAAAATAAAATAAAAATGAAAGAAAGACATAAAGATTGTTAGCTTCACAGTTTGAGCGAAGAAAGTTTTCCTTGGATCTGGAATAACTTCTTGTTCTTTTCAGGGGACATTTTCTCTTATTATTGAGGCATGGAATGCAGAGTCTCCCAAAGAGCATCATGATTACACAGGTGAGTGGCTCTGTTTCAGAAACTCAGCACAAACCAAAGATCTTATGATGCATACGAGTTTTTATTTATTCAATGAACTAATTCACTGCTTTTTCAAGCTTCAATTTTCCTTGAATTTCCCCCAACAGAGAATCAAAACAACCTGATCAGTCGTTTAGCAACACGAAGGCGTTTGGCGGTTGGGGAAGACTGGTCTCAAGATGTTCATTTCGGTGATCAGAGCGAGCTTCGTTACTCGTATCACGTTTTCTGTGATGAGTTTTACTACGGTGAGGCATGTTCGGATTACTGCCGTCCCCGTGATGACACACTGGGACACTACACCTGCGACGAGAGCGGGAATAAGGAATGCCAAGAGGGATGGCAGGGAGACTACTGCTCCGATCGTGAGTTGCCTATGTGTGTGTGTCAGATTGTCAGAAGTCTGTTCAGTCTGGGTCCTAAAGAAGCAGTCCTATTTCTGCCTTGATCACTGTATTTATGTCCTATTGTGTGTGTCTGATGGAAGTTGAGCTGCTCCTTCAGAGCTTCTGCACTTCTTTTGTTCAGTATAACAAAGAAACCCAACAGATACATGCTAGAGGGTCGTTCTGTGTGTGTGTGTGTGTGCACGCTTGCCATAGCTCAAAATACAAAAGGGTTCATTACCTCTGTCAGCTCACCAGCTGCTGGCCCCTACACTTAACACACCCATTCATCTGCCCTCTCCGGGGGGCGTGGTGTGTGTGTGGTGTGGTGTGCTTACCCCCCTTCTCTGTCTCCCCCCACAGCCATCTGCTCTTCGGACTGCAGCGAGCGGCACGGTTACTGCGAGTCACCCAGAGAGTGTAAGTGTCGTCTGGGATGGCAGGGGCCGTCCTGCAGCGAGTGTGTGCATTACCCAGGATGCCTGCATGGGACCTGCTCGCAGCCGTGGCAGTGTGTGTGTAAGGAGGGATGGGGAGGCCTCTTTTGTAACCAGGACCTCAACTACTGCACCAACCACAAACCCTGCGCTAATGGTGCCACCTGCACCAACACTGGACAGGGCAGCTACACTTGCACCTGCCGGCCAGGATATGGGGGCACAAACTGTGAGCTGGAGATTAACGAGTGTGACTGCAACCCTTGCAAGAATGGTGGCAGTTGTAACGTAAGTCTAAGCTCACCTATCTATCTATCTATCTATCTATCTATCTATCTATCTATCTATCTATCTATCTATCTATCTATCTATCTATCTATCTATCTATCTATCTATCTATCTATCTATCTATCTATCATCACATTTTACGTCACATGCAATTTGCAATATCCAGCATGTTACATTTCTGTTCAAAAACAAACATTTACACTCTTAGTTTGGAGTTAATGCATTTTATTTAAAAAGACAATTAATAAAGGCTAAATAAATAAATAACGGTAAAAAAATTCCAAACTATTTGCATGTGATTTAGGATAAATAAATATGCTCAGATCAATGGATTATGAAGATGATTTGACGGCTATTTTTCCTTGCAGGATTTGGAGAATGATTACTCCTGCACATGTCCTCAGGGATTCTATGGGAAGAACTGTGAAATTATTGCGATGACATGCGCTGATGACCCCTGCTTTAATGGAGGGACATGTGAGGAGAAATTCACCGGTGGCTACGTCTGCCGCTGCCCCCCAGCCTTTACCGGCTCCAACTGTGAGAAAAGACTGGACCGCTGCAGCCACAAACCTTGTGCCAATGGTGAGTTTTTGTGTTGATTGAAAAAATAGAATAACAGAATTATGAACAAAACATCTTTTATTTGTGGAACACAAAAGAAGTTTTGAAGAATGCTAATGAAATACATTCATACAATGAAAGTGGATGTCAACTACAGAATCTCATGCTCAAAAAAGTTTTTTTTTTTTAAATATGACAAATCACATGACTAAAGGCCCTCACCCTCACATGACCTCACGTTGTGTCAATCAGCTTGCACACTGCCTCCAAACTTTCATCCGTCATAAAAAATAAATCAGCTCGTGTTCGGTTTTCTGCATTTTTCGCGTCCGTAGCAAGCAGTTTCAATGGTGTTTGAATTGTGTTTTGACAATTCAGAGCCACCGAATCACGAATATGAAAAAACGCAGTGGGACTCAGTGGGCAAGAGCCTTAAGTCTTCTGAACACATAGAACACATTTTTTTTACATTTAATTCACTTGACAGCTGTGGTCTTCATTCACTTTCATTGTATAGAAAAGTGCATATTTCTAGACATTTTTATGCAACCACACACATGCACATGTGCTACTGTTACAGTTATTCTACACCTACTCATATGTAACCTCCTCTCTCTTTTGTTGTAGGTGGTGAGTGTGTAGATCTGGGTGCTAGTGCTCTGTGTCGCTGCCGCCCTGGTTTCACCGGCTCTCGCTGTGAGACAAACATTGACGACTGTGCCCGCTATCCATGTCAAAATGCTGGAACCTGCCAAGATGGCATTAATGACTACACCTGCACCTGTACACTAGGTTTTATGGGTAAAAACTGCAGCCTCAGAGCAGACGCTTGTCTCATGAACCCATGCCTTAATGGGGGAACGTGCTACACACACTTCTCAGGGCCTGTGTGTCAGTGTGTGCCTGGGTTCATGGGCTCAACCTGTGAGTTTCCTGTGCAGGGAGGTCTGGAGATGATGGCCCCCCGGGTTGGGCGGACCTCGCCTTCGGCTGTGGCGGTGTCATGTGTGTTAGGTGTGCTGGCTGTGTTTTTGGGAGTGTGTGTGGGACTGGTGGTGATCAGGAGGAGGAGGCATAGACTGCGCAGACAGCAGCTGTGCGATTCTGTGTTTAATGATTTGGAGACAGTGAATAATTTCGACAGGCAGCACTATCCCTATGATCGAGATTTCAGTCAGGTGAAACCCAGCAACACTGAGAGCCGTATCTCATTGGCCGCCTCTCACACACTGCCTGCTGGGCAGGACTTTCTGTGGAGTGCTGGAGGAGGGCTTAGATGAGACACATCCACATGTGTATATGTGTGTAAATGCCCAAACACAATGCATACACTGATGTAGACACATGAGCATTTACATGGACAAACAAACTCATATGCAGGGATGAGAATTTGGATGTAGCACTTGCTTTTGTCTTAATTTTTATGAATGAATGAATGAATGAATGAATGAATGAATGAATGAATGAAGAATGTCTGAATAAGGGATTGGACCTTTGCCATCTGTAAAGGTGGAAGACTCTGTAAACCAAAAACTAAAAGAAACACTCACACTACTGTGTGCTGGGCTCTGTGAATCTGTTTCCATATGAAGACAGACACAAGAGTTGAAAGCTGAAACAGACTTAGATCTCTATATGAAGAGAACTCATATCTTTATACAAAGATAAAAAAGTGAAAAATAGCTCTATACAAAGAGAACTAAGTAAGAAAATACCTCTATTGAAAGAGAAAGAAGTCAGTTAAACTGAAGAGCATTGAAGTCAGGTGCTTTCTTGTCAAACTCTTGGCTCTGTATGAGACTGATGAAAACAATAACTCTTTTTTATTGCATAAGGGTGAGAGTATCACCTTTGTTCATTTGTCAGGATGTTACCAGCAACAGGTTTAATAATAATAAAAAAGGTATAAATAAGAGAAAGCAAAACGAACACAGTCAGGAATATCAAACGATATTCTTAAGACCAAATGGGAAGATTTTGCTCCAGTTTTGTATTGTGTATTAAGCAGTGTATTTTTTTCCCTTGAATTATATGGGGAAATATGTGTCAGTGGTTCTTATGTTAAATGACATAAAATCAGATTTTTCAATGGGGTTTGTCTAATGAATGTTTATTTCTTTTGCCAGATGTGTCCTATTAATTTAAACCTAAGTTTACGCCTAAGTTTCTATTTTGCATTTTTGTACTTTTGCTTTCAATCATTGTCTTATCTTTGTAAAGATTTTATGTTAATTTATTTTGTATTGTTATTTTAATGAAATGAAGTAAATTATATGAGAAAAAACAACTCATTTGTTCAATTCTTTCTACAATGTTTGATTTGAATTGCTTGCACTTAAAGTGGTATTTGAGAAAGAAACCATTCACTCATGTACCTGAAACAGCCCACTTTATCTGCATTCAACCTATTGTTAATCATTTGATGGGTTGTGTGCAGACTTTCTGTTCAAAAGGAGCATTTTTTAGATTAGAAGAGTTATAGTTTTGAATGAAGGGTTTTATTTTGCAAGAGTGGTGTTTTGTGGTCTTGCGTGTAGTTTTTTGAGAAATTGTGAGTAGGCCTAAAAGCAATTAAAAAACTGTAATTTCGTTTTTAAACTTTTCTTCTGGGGGTTTACATTAATTATATATATTACAACATTAAATGTAGGCCTACCCCATAAATCCACAACGTCTGACGTTACCACCAATCAAGTTGAGAGCGCGCGCCACTCAGCGTCCAGCTTCTGTTCTGTCCACTAGCTCTGTTGCTCATTCATAGACAAGCACAGACCGTAGGCGCATGCAAACATGGCTGAGGAGATGCATACCGTTCATTCCTCGGATTCAGACACTGGTCCAGAGCACGGGTTGAACATGCATAAGCGTCAATCGCGCGTTACAGTAAAATACAACCGCAAACAGCTTCAGAAAAGACTGGACGTGGAGAAATGGATCGATGAAGGGCTCGAGAGGCTGTTTGAGGGCCAGGTGAGTGTCCATGCTCATCCTCACAGGTGCAGTGTTGACGCTGGAAACTACAAGTTGGTAAGTTCTGAAAAAATAAGTCTATTTTGATGGAAAAGTGAACGAGGGCGTCGCACATGCATTTCCAAACTCTGCTGCCTCATATGCGTTATTTTGAAATGTTTGACTTGTGTTGAATGTGTAACAGTTCCTTCTCTAAGAAGTTGACCACAAACTTTTACACTCTGATGTCAGTTTTAAAAAAAAAACGCATATTCACCTACTTTGTAGGCTACTTTTAAATTCAGGTTTCTTATTGTAATCAGGTGTGTTGATTTTTGCACCATTGAATGCAGTAGTAGTGTATACAGTTAACTATTTTGTCCATAAACATGAATTCAGAAAGAAGAAGCACCAAAATAATAAGAACAAGATACTTCTGAAATATTTTACACAACTCAATGTAAATGAAAGGCTGCTTCAGCATTAAATATTTTCATTTTGATTATGTTGACAACACTGTTCTGTTTATCTGTTCGTATTTGCATTTTCCCAAATGAAAATGTTATGTTTCCATTTCACTTTTTGCATTTAGTAGATGCTTTTATCCTACGCTACTGCTCTACTTTTGCTACAAGAGAAACAAAAGCAATCAATCAAAGATCCAACAAAATGCGTATACATATTTAAAGCCAGTTTTATTAGGTTGTATAAGGCAGATCCGATCGTATGCAATTATCTCCTCATGCACCTTTAAATGGACTGAGAAGAGACTTTGTTCATTTCTATAAACAACAGCCTTTGTTAATATAAGTGTGTTGTGAAAAAAAATATTAATTTAGTTGGATAATGTTAGATAAGTAAGATAAGTTGTCTGTCCATAAAAGGTGAGGAGGAGCAGGCCTCTGGAGGTACTTCTGGAGCTTCTTCTTTTCCCCTCATTTAGAGAAGGGGATAACTTGGTTTTATCGCTACCTTACATGGGCACCCCTGAGAAACCATCTGCGGCAGCAACAGGCAGGAAGTTTAAACATAAGCTGTGTGTGTTGTGAGACCTGGACCCACAGTAAGAGACGACAGAGATGTCTCTCGGGAATTGTGTTATGCGATCTGTTATCTCGATTTGTTCTTTTGCTTTGTGTACGCAAAAGTTTCCCACTGAGATTTTGTAATATTCAGACTGAAGATATTCTGATACTGAAACTGTAGGCTGCTGAAAAGTTGAGGAACAATAAGACATAATAGGCAGTGGAGATATGAAGTGGAATAAACAAATGAGGTTCAGTGCAGCGGTGCCATAATTGTTATACTATAATTGTTGGAGCTATACATGTCAGATTTACAGTTTGGCCTATGCCTATATGTTTTAAGCTTCTCATATGCCTACTACTTTCAGTAATTTGTGCAGTGTTTTATTTTTAAATTCTCCTTTCTGTGTATTTTTTTCAATTCTTAATATGTATTTCTGGAACCGTTAATGCTTTATACCCTTACTAATATAATTATTTTTTGTGTGTGTGCTTGTGTTTATGTTGGAGGACATGCCAGAGGAAGTGAACATAGATGATTTGTTGGTTCTCTCAAGTGATGAAGAGCGAACACACAAACTACAGGTCCAGTAATCTTCCTTTCTCACTCGCACCACATCCTGTACTTGTATGTCTAGCCATATTTACATTTATGAATTTAGCAGACGTTTTTAAAAGCAATTTATAAAAGTATTGTAAATATTAATAATATACAATGCCAGGTTTATTAGACTACTAGATTAGGAAGCAAGCTACAGAAAATGACATTTTTGTGCACTGGGAAAATCTTGTACAAATGTCAGGTAAATAAAGTGACCCTCTAGAGAAGAAAATGCATTGGTAAGCATTTCTTATTATGTTCCCCCGCCCCAATATGTTAGTTCTCAAATATATTCACATTTTATTTTGTAATTCTTCAAATTTTAAAGTTTGTATCTCACATGAAAATGACATTTAGGACCATTGACCTTGAGGTCTGTCTGCCATTTTAATTATAGATGAAGATGGTGAGTGGATGCCAGAGCTTTTACACCACGTCCCTTGACCTAAGTATTTGCAGGGACTCCCTTTTTATAACATTTTTCTCAAAAATGAGAACTTTATAGGCTCATTTGTCTGAATGCTTTACACAATATAGAACCATTTAAGGTTTTATATTCTGTATATTGCACACAAGTGCATGTTAGTTTGCACAGTTGTTAATATGAGTATTACTGACTTTTTAGGGTCATCTAATTGAGTTGCATTTGTTTTTGTTTTTTAAAGATTAGAAATTATTCATTTGGTTTCATTTGTTTTACAGGTTTTTCTGCAAACCTGCACTAGGAACACTGAGGTACTTTCCTCAATCCTTCCATCTGTAAATCCTTCTCTTTGTCATCTTTCTATCCTAACATTTTTCTTATTTCTTTTAAATTGTTTTTGTCTACCTCATCCTCTTTACCCCTCTGTGGACTTTTTCCTCATCCTTTGTTACTTTTCCTCTTCCTCCCCCTTTCCTGCTCTCTCCCGCTCTCTGCCACTCTCTCTGAGGGACACTGCAGTGGCTGACACTCCCTTCCACGTGTTTCTCACAATGATCACTGTCAATGACTGATTTGTTCTCTCTTTCCCTTTGCCCCTATTGCTCTCTGTTAGTACAAAGCCATTCTTTCATCAGAGCTCTTTAACAATGTTCACTCTCAGCCTTTTGATTAGTATGTTTGTTTCTGTGTGTGTGTGCTGAAGATTGTGTTCCTCTGGGTAAGCTAGTGTTGAAATGCTGACACATGGAGAATCAGTCGAGAGGAACGTGGCACTTACAGCACACACACACACACACACAAACACTTTTAGCTACTAATTACATCTTCAACAGTGTAATTGGATTACTGTACTGATTACTCTCTATAAAAAGTATTGCATTACTTATTAATAATTACTTTCTAAATCACTTAATTCCTATTGTGTAGTTTATAGAAATTGTAAGCAGTTAAAAAAATGTAATCACGTAATTTATTATTTTATATTTTCTTTGGGTTTTACATAAATTATATATTTTTCTTACAAAAAAACAAACATTTGTATGCTTAAGCACAATTAGTATAAGTGTGTACAGTTAGATTAACCTGTGTGTGTGTGTGTGTGTGTGTGTTCAGGCCTTCATTGCTGAGCTGTTGCAGAAGCTGCATGGTCTCCACAAACAGGAAGAGTTGCAGAATGAAGGAATTGAGCATCCCTGCCTCCACACGTACCCACATCACCATGGCAACATCCATCATCACAGAGGCAACCATCAACATCCAACACATCAGACACTGTGATTGTCTCTGTTCCGGATTATTGCGGTCACTGGACTGAGCTCCCTAACACACTCAGGACACACATGCAACATGCAGTATCCAACTAGTTTAGCAACTCACTAACTGAGGTGTTTGTTTACAAACTCATTGGAGTGGTACATTTAGTAGTGTTCAGTTGTCAAATTGCCCCCACACTTCGTATGATAAATATTTGCCGTAGCAATAATTTGTTTGCTGGGCTATTTTTTTTGCTTGTTGACCGGGTTATGTTTGAACTAGCAGTATGCAAGTTTGCTCGCATTTAAAGTTTAATCTGGTGACAAATGCAAATTCAAAATAATATACTTACATGTTAACAATCACAGGAATGTATGTTGTTGGACATACTAATTAAGTTTAATAGTGTTTATGATTTCATAAAATAAAAGTTTAATAAAAGTAACAATTATTTGAATATGTGTGATGTTTATGGCAGGTGAACAGAGCATCACGTTGATAGGTGCGCTATAATGTATCGTCCACCAGAGGGAGAAGTAATACAGAAGATGTGCACTTTTCTCTGTATATAAGTACCTCTCATCTGAAGATACAGACTAAACAATTAAATCAACATGAGTGTAAGGCCAGTATTATGTCTGTGCAAAAAATTATATATATATATATATATATATATAGGTTATGTAAAAATGTCTGTGTAAAGTCTAAAGATTCTTAGCTATTCTGTTCATATTAGAATGTTCTAGTGAAGTGGTTTTCAACCTTTTTAACTCCAAGGCCCCCCCCTTTTGTTAAAAGCAATATTTGAAGGCCCTCCTGTCTAAACTGATATTAACCTCTGGTACTTCAGTTGTAATTAAAATATGATGCCTGATAAACATTGTGCATTTTTATTTACCCCGGTTTCACAGAGAAAGCTTAAGCCTAGTCCAAGACCAAAGTGAATTGAGCTGTTATAACTGAAAGGAACTTAAACTGATAAATCTTAAAAAATGATCAAGATGTACTCCAGTAATGTGTTTTTCTAAAACATGTTTATAAAAGCTAATTAAATGTCCAATTTGAACTAAGGCCCAATCCTGGCTTAATCTAAAGCCTGTCTGTTAAAAACAAGGACTTAGTGTTTTATTTGTGAAATTTATTTTATAGTGTTTTAAAATATATAAATGTAAATAAATGTAAGACTTATTAGAGCCTCTCTGGAAGTTTTGCAGAGGCCCCATAGTGGGGTCCGGCCCCCTGGTAAATAACCACTGTTCTTGTAGATTCATTCTGGGCAAGTGGTTGTGTCTGACCACTCATCCAAGAAGCCTTTTGTGTATTTTGAAGCCTTTGCACAGCTTGTGCTAAATCGTTTTTTTTTTGTTTGTTTGTTTGTTTCATACTGTTTCTGGAGCATCCAAAATGTGCAGTGATTCCCAATAATAAAATCTTGCGTTTGCTGTACAATACCTGATGGTTAATTAATGAATTCACATAATTAGAATGTAAAATATGATAATTACAGGAAGCTGTCCTATGTCAACTGTTTAAGGTTAAGATTATTAACATTAAGATTAGTAACACTAACCGATCTGAGACCCAGTGAAACCAAGTAACTGTGGATATCAAAACTTGTTAAAACATTATCACTGTGAATTTTTTTTTACCTTTATTTAACCAGGTAAGTCCCTTAAAAACAAGTTCTTATTTTCAGCAACAGTTAAAATCTCTTGAAATAAAACAAGCATAAATTGCTATACATACACACATACATTCAATTAAACATGTTTATGTGCATTCAACTCTTGAATGTATGTATGTGAGTGTATGTGTACTATACATGTCTGTGTATTTGAAGCTGTGTGTGTGTGTTTGTGTCTGTGTGTGTATGTCTATGTTTGTTTAGGGAGGGTGTCTCTTTTTCCTCAGGAAAATGCATCATCATCTGGTAGCAAACTGAACGGCTGCCTCCAACATTCCAATACAAGGCCCCAAACTCTTGGAGACAGACACACAAACACTTTGGCCCTCTCCTACTGATAGGCTCCCTATCACTCGCACAGACACTGGAATGGATTTGCCCTGAACTGACTGCCCACTGCAGCAGAAGGTAAGAGATGCATGTCATTCTTGTATGTTTGTGTCATAATTAATACATACATTTTGATTTTTATCATTATTTTCATACCAGTCAATGAAATATGAGTCCATAAATTCAGTTTTACAATTTTCTTTCTTTATGAGTGACTCAATTTCTATTTTAATATATATATGTGTGTGTGTGTGTATATATATATATTATATATTTATTTATTTATATTATTATATTTTTTGAATTCTGTGATGTTAAATCTGAATTTTCAACATCATTACTGTTGTCTTCAGAGGTCTTTCTAATATGGGAATTTGCTGCTCAAGAAACATTATTATTAGAATTATTATTATTGTCAATGTTGAAAAAAAAATCAGGGTTCTTTGATGAATAGAAAGTTCAAACTCTGAATTAGAAATCTTTCCTAACATTATAAATGTCTTTACTCTCACAAATGTCTTTACTCTCAATGTATCCTTAATGAAAAAAATGATTAATTTTCCAAAAAAAATAAATCTTACTCACCCCAAACTTTTGAATGGCAGTGTATAATATTACAAAAGCTATATATATATATATATATATATATATATATATATATATATATATATATATATATATATAAATAAACTGTATTTATTAAAAAATATAGCTTTTAAAATATAATACACTGCCATTCAAAAGTTTGAGGTCAGTAAGATTTATTTGTTTGGAAAATTAATCTTTTTTTTTCCATCAAGGATACATTAAATTGATCAAAAGTGAGAGTAAAGATAAATAAACAAATATATGAAATTTGAAATTTTCTTCAAGAATGTTAATTTTGATCAAGCTTGTATATTTAAGTTCAGTAATTTCACTTAAATGGCAATGAAGATTACCTATGAATTGCCATTTAAGTGAAATTACTGAATTTACATATACAAGCTTGATAAAAATGATTATTCTAGAAGAGAATTTCAAATGGCACTCAGAGGCTTTTGCATCTGAACTCTTCATATATATATATATATATATATATATATATATATATGTGTGTGTGTGTGTATATATATATATATATATATACTGTATATAGTTATATAGTTATAGTTACTGGTGTTGATGCTTTTAAAGGTCACCCAGAACTAAAACCGATAATCAATTTAATTGTTGTTTAAAAATGTTTTGATGTTTATATAATGATGATGAAATCCTTTGCCAAACACATTTTTATCTTTATAAAACTCAGCAATTAATTTAAATGAATTTCCTTTAGGCAATAAAGATCTGGTCCAGACAATTCGATTTTGTTGCAGCCCTGTTTCTACAGTGCTTATCGAAAAAAAAAAACAACAACATTTTTTACCCATTTGTTTAATGGTTATCTGTCTCTAAACATAAATACAACATTTACAAGTGATGTTTTCTCTTCTGTTACCAGGAATTATGTAAGAACAAAAATACTGACAGAAGGTCCCAGACAGTAAATAACCATGACCTGGAACCCAGACAGTAAATAACCAAATTAGTCAGTTTAATATAGGTGAGGGGTGCAAGCAGTCATTTTAGCTGACACGCATGCCTTGTTTAAAGGTACATTGGTGATGGCTTGTGATTGATTTGAACCTAGAACCTTTTGGTTCTCAGCCCATATCTTTAACCGCCACACCAGGTGAACTCTGCTCCGAAATAATGCAAGGCAGGGATGCTGAAACACAATCACAGGGGTCACTGTGTGCTATACAACAGCACCTTCCTCCCTCTCCCTTACGCCCTTTTCTGTCTTTACCTATTTTTCTTCATATATATATAGGCTTTGTTTAAATTCTTAAACACAATAGTAACATATTGATAGGGATTACTACTAAAGTAGTATCTAGACAGATTGTGTAGAATTTGTTGGTATTCTCACGAGAGACTTTATAGAAAGTGAGTGTGTGTGTGTGTACTGTGTAGTGTTTGTGTTTGAGTAAAGAGTGTGTGTGTTCTGAGAAACTTTGAGGACAGGAAACTATTCTGACACATCTGGATGTGAGTTTCCATTATAGGAGCTTAAAAACTGCTAACGTCTTCAAAGAACACACACATACACACATGCATGTGCTGTTAATGCACTCTGCTCACCGGAATACTGAACAATGAGAATGCAACGAGGCAAAGTCATTTAAGACAGACCTGATGAAGGCAGTTTAAACGGGTTTCAACTCTGGTTACCTTTAACACATGGATGGACATTCTTGGTGACATGGCACAATATACAAGAAAATCTTGCAAATTGTAATGACTTAGGTGCATTTAACAAGGTGCATTTAGGTGCAATTTTTGTTATAAAAAATAAATTCACTTTAAAAATTGAGTTATGTCTGCAGATGTGTGTCAAACTGTCTGAAAAAAATGTTTTGAGATCTTTATAATATATAATGCAAATGTGTTTCAATGAAATTAGAAGCAAACAATGTAACTATGTCCATTTCATCTTCTAGTTAACCAGAGCCAGAATGCCTATCCTCAAGAGGCTTCCCAGGAGGTTCAAGAGTAACCACAGCAATGGTGATCTCCAAAAAAGTAACCTAACTAATGGAGAACTCATCCTAAAGAGCAACCATAGCAACGGGGAACTCATTCTGCCACCATCCGATCTGAATCCGTTTGAAGGGGCGTGGGCAGGCATAGGGTGGAATAATGAAGAGGACGAGGTCTGGAAGAATGGACAGGACTACCAAAGGTCATCTCAGGTGAGCGAAGCACTAGAGAATGAGGCAAACGCAGAGCAGCGTGGAGGGTCAAAAGTCACTGAGGGATCAAAAGAAAAGAGGGGAACTCTGGAGCGAATCTGTGGCTCATCGCCACTGAAGACCCTTGGCAAATTAGGCAAAGGGCTGCGTATGACCGGAAGAAATGTGTGGGGTGCCACTCCTTCGCTACGAAGTGCCACTCTCCCGCCAACACCTTCCTCAGGAAAGAAAAAAAAAAACTATCGACGTGCCTCTGAGGAGATCATGACTTTACTGAGGTGAGAACGCGGCTGTGACATGTTTTAGGATGCGCATATTATATATTATATAGCAGTGCATTTCAACTGGTCTTTACAATTGTGTATCAAACTAAATTAAACGCAAATTATGATTAAAATCAGGAAGATCTGACTTTATCTGAATGCGAGCTTGTACACTGTAAAAAAATATTTTCAAGATTTGTTATCACAACATTTTTTCTTTTGTCAAATCAACTTAAATAATTTATAATAACTTATTATTTTGAGTTTCTGATGATTCAATTAATCTCCTTCATTGTATTAACTCACTTTTTCCAGTTCAATCAACTTAAAATTTTAAGGCAACCAGGTTACTTACTTTTTTAAGTTAAAACAACAATATTTTTTTTACAGTAAGAAAGTGTGAGGGTTTAAGCAGACTAAATAATTTGAGAAGTCCAATCTGCAGTATATGTCACCAGAGAGGTGCATTAAAGATTCAGAGCAACATGGATTTGGAAAAAAAAAGGTGAATTTCCATTTAAAACAGACTTAAATTTTGATGCCATCATGCTTTTTGCATTTACACAAAACACATTGTGATTGCCACAAACCATGTTTACACATCTCAAATAAACTCATATTTTATGTGGTGTGTAAATATATATGTGTATATACATACATACAATATGAGTTTATTTTGTATATATGTATATATGAAGAGTTCAGATGCAAAAGCCTCTAAATGCCATTTGAAATTTTCTTCTTTAATGATGATTTTCATCAAACTTGCATATTTAAGTTCATTAATTTCACTTAAATAACAATTAATAGGTAATTATCATTGCCATTTAAGTGAAATCACTGAACTTAAATATACAAGCTTGATAAAAATCATTATTAAAGAAGAAAATTTCAAATGGCATTTAGAGGCTTTTGCATCTGAACTCTTCATATGTATATGTATGTATGTATGTATGTATGTATGTATATGTATATGATCTGATTAGTCCTGAAACCCAGCAGATAAGAATCATTGTTATATAGATCATTATTTCTGAGACTAGATATACAGCTGTGGTTGGAGAGGTAGTTTTAACACATTTTTCAACCCTCAGGTTGTCAGGCCGTCGTAAGGAAAGTGAGCGAAGAGATAGTCTACCTACAGGTGATCTGACCACTGAAAACGACGAAGACAGTCGCAGGCGTCCCTCGTTTCTACGTATGGTCAGTCTGAGCAAACTCAGAGGAGACTCGCTAACAAACCGCAGCTCGCAGGAAGACGAGCAAGAGTTAGTAGAAGAAGAACAGCCGGTCAAACGCAGGGAGCCACTATCAGGTACAACTGTTTTTTTTTATCATTGTCTATAATTGTACATTTTACGGCACGTAGAGAGTTCCTCACAGGTCTCCATGATTGACCCATAACACCTTGCTTGAGAAGTAACAAGGTCCAAAAGTCTCTGTGAGTCATTGGCCAATTAACAAACACTTTCACAGAGACAGGAAATGACATACTTTCTTTGTACAGAAGATCCAACCTGATAAGCTCACCGCAAGGAGAAAAAACTGTTAATCTACAGCCTGTTCCAAAGGCATCAACACATCAAGCGAATAAAAACATGGCCGTAAATGTTATTAAACACTACTCAATCTCTCTCTTTCTCACTCAGTGTTGGAGATCCTACAATTAGTTAATCAGAGAGATCTGCTGCTTGCTGACACACACATCCAAGAGCTGGAGAGAGAGTGTGAACTTGACCCCTCCTTCTGGACACAAACCACACCCACTTCAACCACACCCAGCAATATGACTCATCACACACTCACCTCGGCTCTCTGGCTCCCCCTGTTTCCTGGTTCAGGCAGTGAGGATTCTGGCCCAAGCATGTGGGATGCTGGGCTGCGTAAAGTGAAAGATGTAGAGCTGCTTTACGAGGCTCTTCAGAGAGAAATGTGGGATGTGGTGAGGGAGTCGTTACGCCAGCCCTGCAGCGGGCCTCAGCTCGGCCTGGTGGTGCTGGTCATTCAACAGGAAGAGCAGGCTGACAAGGTTTGGGCCTTACGACAAGAGGCCCAATCCAACGCTCAAGCCAGTGACCAATCTGAAGACCATTCCCGGCCCTCCAATCGTCCCAGGAGACTGCGTCAAAGGTGGGTGGAGGCTGTGGGAGAGGCAGCTGACTGGTGTCTTCCACAACCGGGGGGCATCGCTGCAGGGCAGATGGGCATGTACTTGGAGCGTTTGAGGGGCAGGGTGGTGGAGGATATGGACGCGGCACGTCGGAATGTGGTGGCGGTTTATCCCGAGGAGTTTGCTGTGTTTCAAGTCTACATGCAGAGCTATCACAGGGCTGTTGCCAAACGACTGAAGACCATCACTTGTGGCCCGATTCAAATCACAGATACATACTCGCTGCTTGACTGGATCTACAACATTTACAACAGGTATATGCACATGTATATATACACTGAGGTGTTTTCTGTTTTTTTTTCACACACCTTTCCTGCTATCACATTCCACACGGTTCTTGCTTTAATGACCCAGTGGAAGAATGAGCTCATGTCTATTAATATCAGATGCATTGTTTATTAGAATGAACAACACCGGTACAGAATACCTGGGAGAATTACTGGTAACATATGGATGGTCTGGTGTACTAAAAGTAGCCACACTATCAACTTGACAATTCGGAATAAAATGAAATCTGTTTTCTAAACGCTTGTTATAGACCATGTTGTGAACGATTTATTTTTTCGACTGAGGCTTTAAATTTAATATCTAAATTTATATAATTAATAAAACAAAAAACTGCAGGAGCGTGTTCTTGCGATTTGATTCTGCAAAAGTGAGGGCGGGGCCTTGATTTTGCGGCTTTACTTCCTGCTCACTACTTTGCATATCTGGTCCCGAAATCGCTTCTGCGCAGACTCAAGTTCCAAGATGTCACCGCTATATCGGGATACTGGCAACTTCACTTCTGACCAATGGAAGAACGGAACCATAGACAGTATAAGAAGTGGACAGAGTATCTCATTGGAGCTCCATTGAGATGATTGAAGCCCGTTTTTGGCGATTTTTTTTTTTAGCACTTCTGTCCCTGACGCGCAGACTCAAACATAGCTTGACGACGTAGATGTGACGAAAGCAACCCGTCTGTCTTCTAGTGGCTGTGGCATGAGAAATCTGAATCATTCCCTTCTGAAACTTGCAGAGGCGGAAAGTGTGAGTAGGAGCTGTCCATGAGCTAGGAGAAGGAGACAATTCTGCTAGGTATTCTGATTGATTATTTTGTCATTTTTGCCTCCACGTTTCCCCGATTGCGCGCCAGCTTCTCCTCCTGTCCATATGGTATTCTCTCTACTGTGCAACAGAGAGTCACGTGGGTATGACGCAATCGTTAGTCTACTTTCACTAAAACTGCTTCTACGGGGCCATAACATAAGCTACAAGGTAACGGAGCATTTTATACATTGTCGTGTTTCTTTAGAAATAAATAAAGGACAAATGGGGTCTTCAAACGCCTCAGATGTAAAGTTATTCCCTGTCAAAGTGACGCCAAAATGAATGGGAGTCAATGGGAATGCTAACGCAAGTGAAGTTCGGCTACAAGATGGCAGCTCCCGCGAGGCTTCAACTTACGGTCGATGGATTACTCCCTTGAACAGAACCGTACCGCCAATCCTAAGTGTATACTAATTGTCGTATTTGACGATAGTGGTCGCGACAGAAATGCATGAAGAGCTAAATACATGAACATATTGTTTGTGTTGAGTAAATATTGCTGGATTTAAAGAAATTATCCTGTATTTCGTTATGAAATATATTGAATATATGTCCGGAAAGTGCAGGGGCCATCGAAAAGTAAAAAAATAAAAATAAATTAAAAACAGATTAAAGTAATAAAGAAGAGCTTGTCACAGTGTCATTAAATTGTATGTAGGGAACAGTCACATATTGTTGGATTAGTGAATCAGTTAATGACCTTCTATAGCATTGGAAAGACTTATTTATTTATTATTATTAATACATTAATAATAAATTTTATTAATTTATTATTTATATGACTTATTAGATTTATTCTAGTGAATCGTGCTCTAGTTCTGACTGTGAGCATCTCATAGGGACGTCTTGGCTACAGTTGGAGCAATGGGCACGATAGTGTGTGAAGAGTTAGATCCTCTCCTGCCCGAAGATGTCATAGACCGGCTGGAACAGGACTGCGTCGAAACTGTTTGGGTAACACTTCATTACCAATAATCAAATTTTGCATTAATTATTCATTTCTGGAAACAAAGAGTTAAAATAATATCCACTTGTGTGTTTCTGCAGGACAAGATGACTATGGAGCTCTCACAAGTTTTGGATGATGAAGAAAAGCGATGGGCTCAGACACTGCACATTGAAGAGTATCAGTCGGGCCTCGCCCGTTCTGTTATACAGGTAACATACCCACAATCCTACATGTACAGCTATTAGCCTTCTGAATATGGTTGTCTGACTGTATGCATGCCTTCCACTTTGTACTTTTAGCAATATTGGTGAATGCGAGTGAGTGTGTTTAAAAAGTATTTGTGAATATCTTTAAAAAAAACATTATTAAATATTTGTATTATATTAATTCCTTCATTCATTCATTGATCTGTGTGTGTGTCTTTATGTGTTTCAGAGGCTGAAGGTAGATTTGGACAGATCGACAGCTGTCAGTCAGCCACTTGGAGCTCGTGTTGCTCGCTGCACCTTGAATGGACTTGCAGATTTCTTGCACAGGTGAGATGGGAACATGAGCAGGGGCGCCTTTATAGAACCAGAGGCCCCCCAACAAAATGCCATTGTTCGATACATAGATATTTAACAATGTCTAGCTGAAATGTTTTTCTAGCTGAAATGTCCTTGATAATGTCAGTAAAATCCCATTTCTGGAGAATGTCACTTAATATACATTTATTATTATTATTATTATTAGTTTACCAAAGCCAGTTTTAAGAATGATTTGAGAATTTGTGTGTCGAAATATCCTGTTCACACAGTGGTTTACAATGTCTCCGAAACTGTCTGTATGAACATACAACGGGATCTATGAACTCTAACAATAGTGACAGGGACTAAAGTAATATCAAAGATGGTGACATAAATAAAACTATAAATTATTATCATATCTGATGAATCCAAATGCAAGTGCATCCATCAAATTAACAGACAGCAAGGACACGTTTGGTATTTTACACTTAAAGCCCTGTTTTAAGATCGTTTCTGATTAAATAGAACAGTTAAGATTAAAATTTGGACTCATGCTGCTGTCCCGAAAATTTTCGGTTTCTGTGGTTGCATAAATCCCCTAAAATATATTCATTGTAGTCAAACCTTTCACCGCACTATTAAAGCTATTTCTTAAGAGAATCTGACATGGTCAAGACAATAACTAATTATAAACTAACTTACTAAGGTTTTTTTTTTAGCATTCTTGTAACTCAAACAGTAGAGGGGTTGACATGGGGTTGACTCCCAGGAACTTGCCAGAACTGATTGAAATCTATAAATCTAAAAAAGCACTTTTCATAAAAGAGTCTGCCACATGCATAAATGTAAAGGTAAAATGTTTTTAATTTGTGTCTCAGTCTTAAAGGGATCGTTCACCTAAAAATGAAAATTCCATCATCATTTACTCACCCTTGTGTTGTTCCAAAACCGCAAGACTTTTGTTCATCTTGACAACACAAATGCAGATATTTTTTAATGATCAATGGGATTTCTGTGCCTTCATTGACAGTCCGCATAAACGGTTCAAAAAGTTCATAAAGAGATCGTAAAACTAATCCATATGAATTGAGTGGTTCAGTTTACATTTTCTGAAGAGACTCGATCGCTTTATAATAAAATAATAATTCATTAAATGTATATAGTGCTTTTCTTTTCATTCAAAGCGCTTTACATGGAAGGGGGAATCTCCTCAACCACCACCACCAATGTGCAGCATCCACTTGGATGATGCGACGGCAGCCATATTGCGGCAGAACGCCCATCATCACACACCGGCTTACTGGTGGAGAGGAGTGTATATATACTGGGCACTGGGCAAATTTGTCCAGGATGTCAGGGTTACATCCCTATTCTTTCGAAAGACATCCTGGGATTTTTGTGACCACAGAGAGTCAGGACCTCGGGTTTAACGTCTCATCCGAAGGACGGTGCTCTTTGACAGTATAGCGTCCTCGTCACTACACTGGGGCGTTAGGAGGACCCTAGTCTCGCGTAGCCAGACCTTCAGACTGACGGCTGAAGGTCTGGAATTCATAGCAGCTTTCTTTGGCCAAGGCCCGCCCATAAGGCCGTTTGACCGACATGTCAAACAACCAATTACAGTTCGTTTCATTCAGCGTCACGTTTCGGGGCGTGGAAATGTCCCCACAACATCAGACCGGCGTGCAACAAGTCAGTCAGACTCAGCAGCAGTCACCGGAGGCGCTCGTTAACAACGCTCCGCGTTATTAAATTCACCCACGAACTCGCGCTCATGTCCATCTCATGCCCGCTTTGTCACACGGCCAGTTCAACCTCGTATAAATCAGGTTATGTGTGTAAATCACGTGCTCACGAGCGCTCACTCAGACACACTGTCCCCGGCGCTGCTCGTGCGTCACAGTTATGTTCATAAAGCGCTCCCCGTTCACAGTAACCGGCTCGTCTCATTCAAAACAGCCAGCTGTAACGTTAGCTGTCAGCGAGCCGCCACACATTGAATACTCGCAGTCAAACGTTTGACTCTGCAGTATCTTATGCACCTTATAATCCAGTGTGCGCCCTATATATGAATACTGAATCGGCCAGCTGCGATGTCAGCGTCTGTTGTTTCATGTTTGCCCACAAACGCGGCTGATATCCCCTTCGCAATTAAGTACTTCACTTGATCTTCCATAATCGATAGGAGGGGACATACAACTACGTTTAGCTGATCTTGATTAATGCTCATTGTCACTCATAAACTCAACAGTTTTTCTTCCGCAATCACACTTCTGCGCTTTGTTTCCCGGCGGACCGAAAATAAACGCGACACTGACGCCCCCCGGAAATCCGATAAAATTCAACCAATCAGATGACGACTTCGACATTCCTGAAGTGTTTCCAGTTAAGTGTACCATATGCATCAGACGTTTAGCCAACGTTCCGTGGGCGTGGCGTCTGAGGCTGAGACTAGGAGGACCCATACAGACCACAGGGGGAGCGCCCCCTGCTGGCCTCACTAACACCTCTACCAGAAGCAACCTGTTTTTCCCAGAAGGTCTCCATAAATTAAAGGGTTAGTTCACCCAAAAATAAAAATGATGTCATTAATGACTCTCCCTCATGTCACTCCAAGCCCGTAAGACTTCTGTTCATCTTCGGAACACAGTTTAAGATATTTTAGATTTAGTCCGAGAGTTTTCTGTCCTTCTATTGAAAATACATGTACGGTATACTGTCCTTGTCCAGAACGGAAATAAAGACATCATCAAAGTAGTCCATGTGACATCAGTGGGTTAGTTAGTATATTTTGAAGCATCGGAAATACATTTTGGTCCAAAAATAACAAAAAACTTCATTCAGAATTGTATTGTCTACTGGTTCTGTCGTGTCGAAATCCTTAGACATGTTTGCGAATATTGTTTTGTTTAAAGCGTGCGTCTCCCTCAGAGTGTAAACGGCTCGGGCGCACCAGATAACACGTCAGCAGTGTCACTGAACGTGAATTGACAACAGAACCGGAAGAGAATACAATGCTGAAAAAAGTCGTAGTTTTTGTTATTTTTGGACCAAAATGTATTTTCGATGCTTCAAACTAACCCACTGATGTCACATGGACTACTTTGATGTCTTTATTTCCGTTCTGGACAAGGACAGTATACATTTTCAATGGAGGGACAGAAAACTCTCGGACTAAATCTAAAATATCGTAAACTGTGTGTTCCGAAGATGAACGGAGGTCTTACGGGCTTGGAATGACATGAGGGTGAGTCGTTACTCGTTAATGACATAATTTTCATTTTTGGGTGAGCAAACCATTTAAATCTGTCCTATAATCATATGAAGTGATCATGTTTCAATATCGACTAAACCGCTCTATCCATATGGACTCGTTTTACTATCTTTTTAAAGGGTCAAAGTGTCAGTTGCGTAGACTGTCAATGGAGGGACATCATTTTTTTATTAGTGTTTCAAAGATTACTGTTACTTACTGTTTTGGATCAACGGGTTTGTAATTTATGACAGAATTTTTGGGTGAACTAACCCTTTAAGTGTCTTATTCATTTCTGTTTTAAATAAGGTAAATATAAAAAATAATGGAATTTTTTGTTTTGTTTGTCTGTGTGGTATTTAGTTTCCAGAGAAAGGTTGAGATGTTTCATGACACGCAGTCAGAGTTTGGGGATCATGGGGATGGTTATGTCTCCAGGACCATCTCTCTTGTCAACTGTGTTCCACCATTCAGGTTTTTCATCTTATTCACCTTGTCTATTTATTCCAATCTCTCCCAATTTAGATTTTTTTCTTAGAGTCCTCAAATAAAAATAAAAAAACTCAGAGACTTTAGAATTTATATTTTCTACATTTTATATTTTAAAGATGGAGTTTCTTCAGATAAATGCAGATCTCTTGCTAGGCTAGAAATCACTGGGCATATCTGTTTGATTTTATCTAAAAAATACACTATAAGAAAAAAAAACTTGAAAAACAGAAATGGTAATTTTCTGCCAGAACATTTCCTTCAACTGTAAAACATAATGCAATGTATAATTCAAAATACAGGTACAACATTTGACATCTTAAATATTCAGCGATCGTTTAAAGGGATACTCCACTTTTTTTGGAAATAGGCTCATTTTACCACTCCCACAAAATTAAACTGTTGAGTTTTACCATTTTCAAATCCATCCAGCCGATTTTCTGATATTTAGAAGAATATCAGTAACCAGACAGTTTCAGAACAGACAGAGACCAGAAACTGTCTGGTTACTGATATTCTTCTAAATATAAAAAAATCAACTGAATACATTAGAAAACGGTAAAACCCAACTGTTTCACTCCGAGGGAGTGGTAAAATGAGCCTATTTTCAAAAAAAAAGTGGAGTATCCTTTTAAGGAGAATGTATAACAGCGGAGTTATTTTTTAATGTGTTTTTTATAACAAAAACATAATAGAACATGATTCTGTAGATAGTCAGTAAACCAAATGCACATATAAAACTCAATGAACTCAATATATCAATGAATAATACAAAAACTATAGAAAGAATAATGCATTGAAATAGCACAAAGAAAAAAATTAAAGATGACTTAAATGTTTGTATTGAACTGTGTAGGAATTTTGTGGAGCGTTGTCGTCTGTGTGACACCCTTGGCAGTGAGGACGTCTCCCAGCGAGCTCAATCCTCTCTGGAGCGAATCGTTAACCAGTCAGTGCGAGTTCTTTCAGACTTACTGTTTGAACACATCAGGGTGAGACATATGCACACGTTTACATCTAGCCTAGAAATGATTCCCAATGCATTCATTGATGATTTTCTGGTATGATTCCAGCCATTCTTCGATAAACTGGTGAAGAGGAAGTGGCTAGATAACAATGAGGTCTATGAGAGCATTGAGATGACCATTAAACAGCACTTTAAAAAGTTCCGAAGAATGGACTGCCCTCCATATCAGGTATGACATATAGTACATGCATGCCAGGACACATGCAAGCTCACAGGTTCAGTGGTTGGTTGGTCGTTTGATTGATTATCTGATTGGCTGACAGGCATTGGTGAATGAAGTGCACAGGCGGGTCCTGGTTGAATATGTTCGTGCCATCATGAGGGGACGGGTCATCTGTACGTCCCTCAAAATGAGGAAGAGAGTGGCTTTCCGTCTGCAGGATGAGGCCAAACAGCTGAAGGCTCTTTTTAAAGATCTGGTCAGTGCCTTACATTATCTTAAAGTTAGCACTCCAAATGCAAAGGACCTTTTTCTCAAAATATAATGTACAAAGACACATCTATAGTGTGAAAAATACAAATATTATAGATGTAGATGAATTGTAATGTGGAAAATATTTACTTTCTATTAAGCTGACACTATCTTTTTTCATCACAACATTAGAGTACTGTTAGCTTTATAATCATTAAGCATAAAACCATGGCGGTGAATAGAACTAAATCATTTGTGATTTGCGAAAAGCCATTACAAATCAGGTTGAAACAGAAGTATTTTAACCAAAAATGCCAACACTCTGTCTTTTTCTTTTCTCAGGAGTCAACTTCCTCCTGGTTGGACAGTGTGATTGTTCACCTGGCTGACATCATAGCATTGGAGGACACTCCCTCTATTCAGATGGAAGTTGGGCTTTTGGTGAAGGAATTTCCAGATATACGGTAAGACCGCCAGGGCAAATGATCTAAACTATTTTCAGAGGACCGTGATGAAACTGCGTAGGGTTTAAGCACCAGCAGGGATACTAGAAAATGGCAAGTGGCAACTCTTTCTGATCATCTCCAACTCCATTTCCGGCTTTTCAATGTCCTCACTACTAGTGACATAAATCCACTCAAAATGAATGCGGAGTGAGAGAAAAACAGATTCTCCATGCTTCAGACAAATGCACTCACTGTATGCTCTTCAATGCATGAACAGAGATGGCCAAACACATACGTCTAGTAAAAATGTGTTCTGTGTGAATGGCCCTTTAGAAAGCTACTTGACCAATGAAGCACCAAGTGTTGTTTTAAAACTGAAGCCTATTGTAGAAGCGGATGTCTATTTTATATAGCATAAAACCGGAAGGAAAGTGTTTTTTATTAGCTCCTAGAGCACTCAGTAATTTAATATATACTATTTTGCTGAACACTTTTAGACCTGCGGAAGGGTAGAACTCTGCCATCTCAAATTGCTTTCATTCATGAAAAACCTGACATGTCCCCCTCTTATTTCCTTGAGAACTATTTTTCACAACACCTCTCTATTTCCTGAGGTCATTCTAAGAATGTCTGACTGAAAATAGTTACCGTGATGCTCCATCTCAGTGCCAACTTTCCTTTATGTGGACGGGAGGGAACAGCAGACAGTAAACAGGGGAATGGGTGAGATGTGACCCCACTTTAGTTGTGTTTTTGTTTGGATGAAGAGAAATGTGTGTGTGTGTGTGTGTGTGCTCAGTCACTGGCTGGCAGTGCTCCTGGTTGCTGACGCACGACCCTCCTCAGCAGACAGGAAGTGGCTGTGGAGTACTTCCTGTTCCTGCCAGGTCACAGGAGACTGACTGGTGCCACACTCCAATCAAATACACACACACACACACCAACTAAAGATCAAAAGCCAAAAAAGTGGAGGCTACTTAACTTCTCTTCGTGCTTTGCCGCGTAGTTTCCTGTTTTTTTACTGTCTGTCTATGTTAAAGTTTGTCACAGATAACACTGTCGCATTGTTATCTATAGGCAGGACATGCCATCTTAGTACAGAAACTCTGAGTTGGCTTTTTGAACCATGTGCGCTGTCAAGGGATCATTACAAAGAAACACATTCGATCTACATTGCTCAAATGACTTTTGCCTGAAACAATGGACTTTTTTTAAAAGTAATATTATCATATAATGTCTATCCTAAAGTTGATTTTTTTTTTTCTCTATATATACATAATAGAAATGAATTGGTAAGGATGATTCTTTAAAAAATGTTATGGTATCTCTACTGAGAAAACTAAGAATATTTTTGTAATGTATAAATAAAATACAATATAAATATTAGATAAAAAAAAAATATATATATTGTCTTAGTAACAAACTAAAATAAGGTTACTAGAAAAGTACTAAAACTGAAATAAAAAAATTAAAACTACATAAAAAACAACCTAAATATGACAATTTCCCATAAAAAATTACAAAATCAAAAAGAAATTAAAATGAGGATTTATTCATTGGAAAATATTAATAAATATTGTAATATAAATAACACTGTCTGCTCGAACTCACTTTTACTGCTTTAGTTTTTTTTAATAATAGTATTTATATGTATATATCAAAAATATATATATTCTTGTAGGCTATATTTATTTTATTAATAAATTGTATAGAATTATAATAGCAGCCATTTATAGCTGTAAGATAATGGTGATTATTATTGGTACGTCTTTCTTCCATTTCTTGTGAGCTCTATATTTTAATTGACTCTGCTCTCATTTTTTATTTTTTCATTATCTATGTTTGTATACTTTTTCAACCACAAATAATGTATTTCTTGTTTTGTGCAAAAGCAGCGAGAGTGATTTGCTTTTCTGATTATGCAACACAAAATATGAAAGATTATGCCCTCTCACCCTCATTCTCTCCTCTCAAAGGAGAAGACATATCTCTGCTGTGTTGAATGTTCGTGGGATGGTGCATCAGACAGACCGTCAGGAGATTTTAGCTGTTGTCCGGGACTTAGAGACCAGCGACAGCTCCATCAATCTGCCCCGAGATCGTGCCCTCTTCTCTGAAATCGCAGTGGCCAAAGACATGTCCTGCCTGGGGCTGGTTCTGATCCGCTTTGGTCTGACTGTGTCATCGTGGGTCGCCAGTGCCCGGCCACGCCGTAGCCAGAGTAGAAGGAGCTGGAACGAGAAACATCAACCACTGTCAAGCCATGCAAAGCGCTTTACTGAACCTTAAAGATAATGAAATACAGCATAACTACAACGCATAGTATCCTGATATTTAAAAAATGACACAATAATGCTAAAAATACATAGCATCGCCACAAATATTACATAATCAAATCAATAGGCTATAACATAAAGCAACGATTGCAGAGATTGAAAGATTAAAGATGGCATAAATTGTGCTGTGTCAATTTTCAGACTAGATGAATGTGGTCAGAGCCCAGTCAAAAGGGACAATAAGATGAGTCCATGACAGCAAAGTAAAATCACAACAATACTTGTCCTTCAGTACACAGCTGGAGCGGAACAAGTCAGTGGACACTTCAAAGGACGGGAAATAGTCTATAATTCTCTCGCTTTAAAACAGGCTAGTGGACTGCTGTAGGTGGACCTCTGTCGTGTGAACAGCCACATGATTTGAGAGGAGCGGCAGGAAACTCGTCGCTTTAGAGTGGGGACTTGCTGAAGTTTTTATTAGTGCAGGCTATGTTCAGAACACTGATTTAGCTTGACAGTAAATCACATACAGAACAAATGCATAGATATGATGTATCAAACACCAGGTACAGTTCTACAATGCATAAACAGCTACTTTTCAGATTTTTGTTATTTTGAGAAGTGAAAAAATGAAAATGGGTTGTCTGTGACATTTAAAGGGATACTCCATTTTTTGGGAAATAGGCTCATTTTACAACTCCCTCGGGGTTAATCGTTTGAGTTTTACCGTTTTCTAATCCATCCAGCCGATTTTCTGATATTTAGAAGAATATCAGCAACCAGACAGTGTCAGGTCTCATAGACTTCCTACTATGGAAGTCAATGAGACCTGACACTGTCTGGTTGCTGATATTCTTCTAAATATCAGAAAATCGGCTGGATGGATTAGAAAACTGTAAAACCCAACTGTTTAACTCTGGGGGAGTTGTAAAATGAGCCTATTTCCCAAAAAAAGTGGAGTATCCCTTTAAAGAATGTGAATGAAAATCTCTCTGATTTGTGCTAATGTTTATGATTTGTGCTAAGGATTCTGTTCATCTCATTCATGTCTAATCATTGTTCAGATCTGAGCTACTGAGAAAAAAAACTGCCAGGAATGAAATGTATTTGGTATTCTTTCAGTTAAAAAAGAAATAAAGCCCCATTGACTGGGAAATTAATTACATTGTATTTAAATTGCTGCTTTTATACAGTACCATTTAAAAGTTTGTAAAATGCTTTTGAAAAAAAAGTCTTGTGATATTCACCAAGGCTGCATTTATTTGATCAGAAAATCAGTAAAAACAGCAATACATTGTGAAATATTATTGTAATTTAAAATAAATGCTTTATAATTTAATATATTTTAAAAATGCAATTTATTCCTGTGATAGCAAAGCTGAATGTTCAGCATGATTATTCCAGTCTTTTTTCAGGATTCTTTGATAAATAGAACATTCAAAAAACATCAAGATATTTTTGTAATATTATGAATGTGTTCACTGTGACTTAATCAATTTAATGCAGTCTTGCTGAAAAAAAGTATTAATTTCTTTAAAAAAAAAGTACAGACCACAAACTTTTGAACAGTATAGTGTACATTTTAATAGACTATTTAAAATTTTACATGTTGCATTAATACTTCTAATTTAAGACACGTACTACCAGGTTGAGTTCTGCTGACATCCATCAGCTGAGGATGTTTTGGGTAACTTTTCTAATCCTGTTGCTCTGAGAGGTGCCAAACGAGTCCCCTTATCAGAGCCAAGTCTACACACCACCACAGGCGGTCACTTCCTTTTCAACACAACAACGTTGTTTTATCCCAAACATGCTTGCTGTCAAGAGTAATGAACACACACTCATGACAATAGACACACGTGAATATGGAAATTAAAGTCAGCAGGATTTTTCTTTAATGCCACAAAAGTTAAATATAAAATATTGCAGATTCCTTTTCTTTGAATTCCAGATTTAAAAAATAATAATAATCAGACTATACAGTATATACCGGTAGCTCAATCAGTGAATCTTATTTGAAGAGTACAGAGGCTCCCTAATGAAAATGTTTTTCAAAATTAAATTGTCAACTTAAATTTCAAATTGCTCATATTCTGTTGAGGCACTCTGTTTTCTTGAATGTACACTGAGTAACTGTTTAACACCTATGCATTATAATTAAACATTTAGTCAAGACAACAAAATGATCTGTAAATCCATTTTTTACTTTAATTTTATTTACTCAATCTGAACAAAAGCTGTTTTTTAACAAAAAAAGAAAAGTTTTAAAGTTCCAAAATGAAAAATTCTGTTATTACTCACCCTCATGTCGTTCCAAACCTGTAAGACCTTGGTTCATCTTCGGAACACAAATGAAGATATTTTTGATGAAATGGAGGAGGTTTCTGACTCCTCCATAGACAGCAACTAAATGACCACTTTCAAGGACCAGAAAGGTTTTAAAGACCAGTGTTGGGTGTAACTAATTACTAATTAATTAATTAGTTACTGTAATTTAATTACTTTTCCCTTGAAAATGTAAAGTAAGGGATTACTCTTCATTTATCTGAAATTTAATTACAGTTACTTCTGATGTGATTGAGGTAAATAGATCAATCCGATCTCATTTTATGAGGTGTCTAAATCGTAAGACCGCACTCAAACGAATTCGTATGAATTATTGTAAAATATGTATGAAAAAAGTGTGAAGTGTCATGATATCAGACAAAACAATAGTGGGTTTAACATCAAAATATTGTGTATAATACAAACTTCTCCACCTTGGTCAGTTTAATGATAATTAATGCATTTTATAGTGTTTATTTGAAAGAATTAAAACAGATTCATGTCTATCCTTGTATTATTCCGCTGGTTGAAATCGTAATTTTGCATCATCGTAGGATTTTTTGGCCAGAGGCTAAAGGCTGTTCCGCATGTTGTCAACCCGCCCATAGAGGGTGTGATCTCACTCACAGAATGACAACGCATTCTCACCCCAAGGCGTCACCTTTGACCATGCTTCAATATTTGACGTTTTAGGCGCCCTTTAGCGTCACTTACATCATGACGCGATCCTACGGCGTCATCTAACTGACGCTAAAGGAAAGCGTCAGTTAGAGGACGCGGTTAGGTTTAGGTGTGGGGTGGGGGTAGGGTACACGCTATCCTAGGGCGTCATCTAACTGACGCTAAAGGGCGCCTAAAGCGTCAGATATTGAAGCATGTCCAAATGCTTCCCAAGGCGTCAGTTAAGTGACGCCTTGGGGGTGAGAATGGGCTGAGAATGAACACATAGTGTCAGCCATCTTTTTTTGAAAGCTAAGCTAGCAGGCTCTTGTTCTGTGGAGAAAGCTGAGTAGTAGGAGTTACCATCCTCTTTTTTTCCCTGACATGTACGGCCGTCGATGTCCAGGATGTAGCTTTTTTCTTTCTGCAGTCGCCATTCATTGTTTACATGAACACCTTTTGTTTCAATCTAACTGAATTCATTCCATTGGTGAATCTGAATGTAGTGTTTACATGAACGCTAAACAAGTGATTGGTTGATGTGCGTTTTAACATTGCTAAGAAAATCCCCCTCCTCCATGAGAGATACGAGACCGGTGCGTCTCACTGGTGTCGCTCATCGGTAATCACGCCATCGGCCTCGCGCCATTTTTCACACGGCCCTAGCCTCGTCATACTCGCCACAGTAAACATAATGAATGGCGTAGAATGCAAAAGCCAAATCCCAGACATTTTGGGTGTTCTCAACACATTTTCGGGCAGACTCATCACGGAGACTCACTAGTAGTCTAGACTTGTTGTTTAACTATCGCATTCTGTTACCGGTAGGCGTGGCCTCCTAGGGCATTGAATCAAGTGCATTCTGGGAGTTGTTGTCTTTCATCCACATAAGCCTTAAATACATTTTCTGGGTTTTCTCAGTCTGGAAAGCTCCAAGTTCAAAAATAATTTCACATTTCATCTACATAAATGACCCATTTTACATACACATGTATCTTTACAAAGGTGAAGTATGCCTTTAATAACCTTTAATTGCATGCATTGCATTGCAATTGCACAAGCTGATTGGTTCATGCCACATCTGCAGTCAATGAACCTACTCAACATTTAAATAGTTGGTTACCATTCACTATATAATTTTGCATGGCTTTTTCAGAGGTTGTCCTAAACCCTCCACCTTCCCCAGCACCTCCTGTTTAGATCTGCTATAGGTAATTGATATATGCTATTTGTGCAGCAGCAGTATGATTACATCAACTTATTTAAAATAAGATAAAACAAACATTGAAATAAACCAAAACCAATAAAAAAATTATAAATATTTCTCATTTGAATTTACTCCCTTAATAATAATAAAAAAATATTTGTTTTGTCTTTGAAGAACCAGGATCCCCATATATACCTAAATATATAATACATTTTTTCTTTTTTATAATTAATTTGTTACATTTATATAGCGCTTTTCTAGGTACTCAACGCTCTTTACATATGGTCTCCTCAACAGTTTACTGCTGGAGAGGAGACAGTGATGAAGCCAATCAGTGAATGGGGATGATTAGGAGACCATGATGGACAGAGGCCACTGGGCAAATCTGGGATTTGTAATGACCACAGAGTTTTTTGTCAGGACCTCGATTTTCATCCGAAAATATGAACATAAGAATATATATATGAACATATAAGCTTCATTTAAAAGGTGTTACTAGGTCAAGTAAATTAATAAAATCAAACTGCATGGGCCTTTTTAAAGTACATATATTTTATTAAGTAGAAATTGAGTAAAAATACTTAATACGTATCCAGTAAATCATAAACAATTGTCATTCAGTCATTCATGGACAAAAGTCATTCAAATAATAAGTTGGGAACCAATGCTTTACTTCAGGTAACAGCATCTGTATTGATTTAAATCATTATAAAATTATCTGTATTTCATCTGTTCTGGAATTCAAATAACTAGTGCAAAATGCCCGTGCAAAATATTGCCTGTGTGATTTTAGCAGTTTGGTGTGTTTGAGTGCTCAAATGAATAAACGTGACGATTCAGGGAGCAAATCTGCTTTCTTCGTTCCTCTGTCCCTGGTCCTGCGCTGTGCTCACTCAGTTTGCAGCGTGAGAGGGGGAGTGGCCAGCGGCAAAAGCCAGTGTGCTTCTTTTAGTGATGTATTTAGCGATATCTTTTGCATTTTTCATCCAAACAACGTCAAATTCGGCACTGCACTTAGTCGTGCCCGTAGAAAGACAATTGTCAAGTTTGAGATCCATTGGACTAACGTTTCGAGAGATATGCGATTAAAAGACAGACACACACACACACAGACAGACATTCCTGTAATTTATATATATACTAGTGCAAAATGGCCGTGCAGTTTGCAGTGTGAGAGGGGGAGTGGCCAGTAGCTAGAGCAGCAAAAGTGAGCTTAGAATTATAAGGTTCTATCTCCACTTTTGGTCGAAATTGAGTTTTTGACATAATCTGATCCATTAGGTGTTTATTAATGCCTGTGTGGTGTTATTTTTGTAAAAAAAATATTTTGTTAGTAGTTATTAATAAAATAAAAAGGTTCCATCTCACAAAACATAAACCGAGTTGGGATTATAAGGTTCTATCTCCAGTAGATTCAATATCC